CTCGTATGTAAAATTACCCCCTCTCTTATATCAAATGTAGTCTTGCTTATGCTGATTTTTTTATCCTACATGTAGTTTGGCCTTGATTCCAAATGCTATCTCTCCCTACTAGAATATTTGGTATAATCAATGCATTTTTCACAGTAGTTTGGAAGCTATATTAGATTTTAACTAGTTTAAGTCAAAACAATGTCATTACTATCTCAACGTCTATTAAATGTCTTTCATATTTTTATGTATATTGTCTTTCCTTTTTTTATTTTTTTATCATATTATCCGACGACTATAAATACAGTTTCTTAGATTTTATAGCATTGCGTATAATATTTATATATTCCTAATTACCAACACATATAATTGGAATCACTATCAACGGAATGTACATCCTTTGAAATATTGTCTTGATGTTGAAGATCTTTGCCTTCTACTTTTCTTTTCTGATTTATTTCATTTCCAAGTGTTTATACCGTTAAGTTGGGGTTTGTATTTGTACACATCATTTTCTACATACAACTATATTCATCGGCTTAATTCTTAGTTAAATCATAATTAACATAAACGCCAAAGCAGATGCTCAATTATTAATTTTCTTTTTTCGGTTGAAAAAATCGAAATTTTAATGTAAGAACAAAAATATGCTGCAGAGCTTTCAGAAATAAGGACCAAAAATTTTGTTGTTTTGTCTTTTTTGGCTACAGAATCAAATATGTTGTTACTATAAGGTATGTCATCATTGAGAAAGTTCAGTTTCTCAATTCGAGGTGGACTCAATCAAGCAGTAGAGAAAATAATTTATTGAAAGCCTCTCATTAATTTGAGTGGGGAACTTTGAATTTCATTTAATGTTTCAGACAAATAAGCAAAAGCCAGAGCTACTCAATCTTTTGAGTGGAGCTTGTTTAAAATAGTGACAATGACACATTACCACTAGGCCAAACCAAACATGCCAAAGAATGCAATAAAATAATAAAAGAAAAAAAAATACTATAGAGATCTTTGGCCTATTCTTATTTGTTGGATTATTAAATTCTAACCTTCCTTGAACCTAACTCCAACTTTTGATACATGCTCCCTCCAGGCATTAACCAGAAAAAATAAATAATTTTATTGATTATATAATATGTGATCTGAAACATTCCATGATTTGGAAAGTTCCTCCAATAATTTGATGTGAAATTGGCTGATGTCATGAATATTATCAACTACCTTATAATTTTTCAGTACAATGATGTAAAGTTATAATACACTAAACCCCACTAAAGAGTTCACAGTGAAAGCATTGAAATTCTGACATCAGATAAAGTTGGAACATTTGATTTGCACCAATCAATAATGAATTAATTTGTATGGAAAGGTCAACGATGCATATAATGGACACTATATTATCACATTATGAGGAGCTTTCAACGAATATTAATAGTTATTGTTACTGTAGATTATCCATCTGCACAAGTTCTACGATCTGGTTCTTCCTCTAGTTGATGTAGTGGCTCATCATGTAGGAGATTCATTATGATCCTGAGCTTCAAAGTCATAATTTAATGGATATTGACGCCATCATGACGTGAATTTAATCACGAAATATTATATATATTACCATTACCATGTATTCATGGTTAAAAATGTTATTAGGGCTGGTATAAAACTGGGTGGTGTTTATTTTTTGTTTTCATGTTTCTAATAGTATTATAGAAATTTTATTTTTTATCTTTCAATTTTAAGAATTCAGGAAAAAAACACAAAACAATAAGAGTTTTTAAATTTGATGGATAGAGTATATAAGAGAATAAGATAAAATAATTTTTCCTGTCTTATCTTATTTTTAATGCTTATTTAACCAAAAAATATAATAAACTCATCTCTCTAGTGTATATATTTTTCCTGTAAGATCACTTAGGTCAGAAATAACCGGTAGAATAACATAATGTCATTTAATTTATTATTTAATATATATTAAATATAGAATGGGAGTTCATCTTAATTTTATCCTACCCTTTTATCAACCAAGTTTCGTATACAATTGATTTTTTATCTTTTCCTGTACATCAAACAAATTCTAAAGCCTTGTTTCTATCATTCTATATATGCATCATTCTAGAAACAAGAAAATATCTTAAAATCATAGTAGGAGTTTGGTTATTTTCATCATTTTCTCTGTAAATTCAAAAAGAAAAAGAAAAAAAAATTGTATTAGAAACAAAACATATAACTAAAAATTATATAAATTACTTAAGCAACTATATCGGAAATGTATATTATTCCTGGAAATCGAAGCAGTCTTTATTGACCTGCAAATGTTCTCGTGGTGTGGTTCATTGTAATTATTGCAAGATTTAGTGTGTACTGGAGAGCTTACTCAAACGCTTAATCGATAATCTTTTTAAAAATAATAGTTTAACTATAAAATATATTAGATAAATTAAAAATAATTTATTTTGATAATATATACCAAAAAAATTACGAGAATTATAAGTCATTTTTATGACATGTTCATAATTAAGCTCCTTCAAATATATTCTTACTTATTAGTTTGAAAGCTCGGTTTTTTAATGTGTATTGAACGATATAAAATAAGAAACTAATAAATAATAAATTTATATTAAAAAATATAATATTAATATTATTGATGTATTAAATCTTATAATATCTTATAATTTTCTTTTAAAAATATTATATATATGTTTGTATTGTGTGTCCTAATGCACGTTATGAAAATCAAAATAATTTAGTCCGTAATTATCAATGTTTTGCACGATGCTAATAATTATAATTGCAGAGATGATTATGTGATCATTTATCTAATGACTATGACTTAGAGAGGAGTAAGGTCAGTAAGATAAGAATAGATAAACATAAAAGCGTGATTTGAGATAAGCATCCTATGAATCATATATATTTGCATGATCAGATTTAGAAGGTAAAATGAAATTTCTGTTATCGTTTTTGTATTGTTTAGGAGCCTTGTAAGAATATTATTTCAACTAACTAAACGACCACAATACAATGATTGTCAAACTTATGAATGGTATCTTGTTACCACATTTTTGGTTTGCACATCAATCCAAGTATTAGCACTGGTTTGCAGTTTTCTGTGATTTAGACTTCAGCTCAACTAAAACCATTTTGGGGGCTTGAATTCATGTTCAAAACCCTCATATTTTGCAAAGGAGTGATCTTAAATGCTAGACTTTTTCAATTTTGCCAGATTATTTTATTGTTAATATTATTTAACGATTTTATTTTCAAGATTCCAATCATATTGTGTGTTGCATTATGCTCAAATATATTGTTCATAACCCTTTTCCTTTTGGTTCTACTTTTTGCTCTTATAGCGATAGAACTCTTTGCTTTAAGTTGAAATCACTTAAGGAGTGTGTGTGTGTGTGTGTTTATTTAATAACAGATCATGTTTGGAATTTATTTTATTTTTTTGGTCAATATGTTTAGAATTATTTACTTTAACAATATTTGTAGCTCCCTTTCCATTTTTAAGATTTATTTCATTTATACATTGCTTCTAATTAAAATGCCTGACTCATTTAAAGTATTTGTTCTTTTTCTTTTTCTAAAATAATTTTCTCTTTTTAAAAATAAAAAATAATATAAATTTGTATTATATTTTTCTTTAAAAAAATTATTTTTAAAAAGTTAAAAAAATGTACTCTTAAATTTTCATTTGTATAAAAAAATAAACATATGCAATTCATTTTGCTATCATTTTTAATGTTTTATTTTTCACCATCGCCTTTTTTTTTGCGACAAGAATATGTCTCAATTGATCAATCGAAAATTAACTTTTTTTAGGGTATAATTTATTTTTTATTTCTCAATAAAGTATTTTTTTTTCTAACACAATCAAGAATCAAACTCTAATTCTCATGCTTAAAGCATTCATTTATCCACCAACTATGCCAGACTTTGTTAGTTTTCACATTGTCTTCTTTGATGACCTGAATAATAAGATGTTGATATTTAAAAAATGTTTAATTATATCTTTAGTTCATCTAAATATTACAAATTTTTTATTTAATCCCTCATGTCAAAACAATGGTGTAATACAGTTTTTAACCTAAAAAAAATAACAATTCCCATATAGCCCTTGCTTGTTTTGTTCATTAATTGTCATTTTTTTTTATCCATTTGGTCTCTTTAAATATTTGCAAAATTTTCATTTCATCCCTTATTACTTAAATGATCTATGAAACTGATTAAATGAAAGATTAATATATATTAAAAAGGAAAAAAATTACAAGGACTGAAATAAACTTTTCAAAATGAGAGATTAATGAATACGGCTACGTCGTCGCCTGTTTGAACATTGTTACGTTTGAAACATATAGCTTTGGGCCAGACTGTGACAATATCAAGGAGGTTTGTGATAAATGGTTAACCTTATACCAAAAAGTGTAACAGCATGTGAAGTGTATCCTCCTAGGCAAATTTGGGAGTTTTGTTCTCTTAAAACATGGCTAATTCAGTATTGGATAGTTGAGCTAAAATGCATAAACTATAGATCATGTGTCTTAGAATACTCTGTGTTTCGTATGAACCCAAGCAAATACGTACCAATGGCCAAAACACAATCTCTATAAGCATGAGAAGTATACTCACTAGCATTACCAAGCACACGGGACAAGTTTAGATGTATCGAGTTCTTGGTTATAAATGGACCTTTAAAATTATAAATGAATTCGTAACAAACACTACCTTGATGACAAAAAAGAAAATACTGCCGTGAATATGTTCTAGGAAGTTCAGGACATTCAACCCAATTTCAGTTATTTGTAGCCATATAATCAAATTAATTAAGAACGTGAAACATTAAAACGTCATTATATTGAACATTATTTGGTTCTTTAACCAATTTTTCATATTTTGACCCACAATGTCATATCGATCATTCATTCATTCCTACTATAAAATTGAACTAACTCCCTAATTTACAATAACGTGTGCGTCAATGTCTCCCGCTGCGTGTTGCAAAAGATAATTTTCATGCCAATAGTTAGGATTAAAAAAAAGGGCTGTAAGATGTTACGGTAATTGAAATACGTTTGACAAATATTGGGAAAAGTATGGTCCTGTAACCAACATCTAAAACTAACTACGATACAACATTTAGTCTGTAATGCAGCATAACCTTATGCACAGAACATCTCAAAATAGCAAGAGACCACCAGCTCAAAGTCTAACCGTGGTTAAAACATTTGGTATGAAATAACATTTTCATCATATGTCCGATTTAAAAAACAGATCTTGATCAGATAGTCTGTAGCTCCAAACTTGATGTATGCTATACTGCATTTTCCTCAAATCGACCGCTCAATTAAGCTTTTCCCCACTCCAAAAGTTAAAAATACTAAATATCAGCAGCGTAAATTTGAAAGTTAAAATCCTCTCTCCACACACTAAACCCAGGAAACTTGTTGACATAACCAATTAGATTGATTAATCCATTCTAGCACAATAATGGAGACACTAATGATGTTCATCATATAACCAAGAGTTACCGATCTCTGAGATGCTCATTTTGAAAATCTTTTTCTATATAAACTGAGAGGAACATACTCCACTGTCACCATTCTGCCATCAAAGAAACGTCCATGCAAACAGTGGGCTGCTGAACAACATGCTTCCGCTCTTCCATACTCAACAAGAACTGAACCCAGTTCAAATACACTGCAGAAAATATCATCATCCTTGTCAATGCCCTTTTTGGCACCAACCAATTCTGAAGTGGTATCACGTTCAGAACAGCCTTCCTGAAATGCACCAGCTATTTTTTTTGAGTCCATATTGCTCCCCACCATCTTGTTTTCAATATCCACGTCATTATCGTTAGTAACAATTTTATCATTAAATTCGGGTCCATCATTTGGTGTAACCTGTTGATCAGGACATTCTTGAATGATACTACAAGGTATGCTCTTATTGTTCACGTCTTCAACTGGTGTATCACTCACAAGGTGTTCTTGACATGGTTTATAGCCAAAAACTTGATCTTTTTTATCATTAACAGCGCTACCATCAGCAACTTTTTCCAACTCTTTGTCATCATGGAATTCCACTCCACTTGTTCCCTTACATTTGGGGTAAGTATCTTTTTCAGAAAAACTAGATTCTGCATTATTAGTAATACAGAGCGTGTCTTCAGATGCTTCTTTAGAATCCACTTTGTTTATGACTTCGCATTCTTCTAAATTGGTTGCTAAATGCTTGTCACTGCTATGCTTGACTACATTGACTGATTTAATAGTCCCAAATCTGCAAGATAATAAGGACTTCATATAATACATGTTTATAATTTATAAACTTTAACATTATGAATAATTCCAGAGGAAATAAAATACAAGCCTTAATGACCTTGAACATTCCAACCGTATATCCTCCAAAATTTCTTCAATTGCCATGTCAGATAGAGACCAAATAGAGTCTGGTGCGACCTATTCATATTACACAAACAAAAGTAATCATCAAAATATCCAATGTAACTAACAATAATATTGAAAAGAGAAACATATATTTGACCTAAAGCACGGGTTAACCAAGGGCCCAATGAAGATTTGTTCAAGTCTATATAGTCTAGACTCTAGATCACGTTCAACATGAAATCCAACCAGAATTAAAACATGGATTAAGTACAGGAAACAAGTATTTCTGCTTGAAACCAAGAAACTGGGTCAGTCGTCAGCGAGATACCAAAACTATAATGAATTAGGAATCATTTTATTGAATTGCTTTTTCAACTTGGCACTGAATCAAGATGATTCAGATTCAAGTATGAGGTGTAAGAACTCTATTACCGAGTGTTTGCACTCAACCAAGTAGATTTGATAATCCTCACTCTCCTACCCAATCTCCTAAGTTCTAACACGGTTCCAAAACTGACCCTTCTCTTAACTGTCTAATTGTCATTCCTGTAAGAAAGTGGTCAATAGTGCAGCTGTTTCCTAGTGTAATCCCCTACACTTACAGCCCCTTCATTCCTTCTAACATAGACCTTTACATTAGTTGTACTCCTAGCATCTAGTTAATCAGTTGCTTCTGTTGTAACTAACTGAAAGCTGTCATCCAACTGTCAGTATATTGGTATATAGGCTCAGTTCTATAAATATAGAGCACCCACAGGATTCTATTCTGTAATCACTTAGTCATTTTTCAATCAATAGAATCAGATTCGTGCTCTCATTTTTTCTCTCAGCACTTTCTCCTCTTACCAAACACTATTAGACTTCATACTGAAATTTTCATATTAACATTACAAGCATTAAAAACTGAATTCATATGATGCAAAATAATCCCTATTTACCACAATAACATCTTTTTTGGACTAAAAGCCACTTAAAAAAATAGAAAGACAAAAAAAAAGCCCCCTGAAACTAAAGGAAAATATATTAAGAGGATAAAAGCTAAATAAAAAATTTTCGTACCACATTTTTCATCTCTAGTACTTGTGTTGGCTTTCTGAGTAGTGGCTTTGCATGCTCTGGAATCCCATAAGATGGTGGTTTACCAGCATTTTCCTGGAATATTTGTATTTTAGCAAGAACCCAGCTCCAGTCATGTAAAAAACTATGGATATAATTCAAAGCCAATCAAGGAATCATGTCCACAGATTAGAACCAGACTATAGGGATGAGTGGATGGTGAAGTTACCGAGGATGATGATGCATCCAGCATTGCCTGAACTACTGTTAGTACTTCCCCTCCCAGCTTCATCCCATTCAAACCCGCACAAGCTTTGATGGTGACAGAGTGGTCCACATACTGACAAAGTTTGCTCAAATCAGTAATTAATAAAACAAACAAGAGACTACAACAGGACAGAGAAAATAAAATTAGAGAATAAAATATATACCAAAATCCAACAAAATTAAATAACAGCACACATGTTGGCTTTCAGAATTTTTTTACATTTTAGAGTTGGGAAAGATACTTAAAAGAAGAAAAATTACAGATTTTGGAAGAGTTCAAACAGACAACTTTTAGGAGACAACCATAATATGCTAAAATTCATAAAATTTAATCATATAACCAACAATCACATTGTGTACATTTTGCACTTGAATTTGACTCCTCTAAAGCAAGGGATGCGCTTTAAAAGGAAAAAGGAAAAGTTATAACTGTGTATTGAAAAATCAACAGTGGAAACAGTGAAAAGATATATGTATAACAAATAATAAAATTGTTAAAACCTACTAGCATGACAAAATAAGGAAACACGATAACCAATCCAAAGAGATAATGACAAAATAAGAACTAATCCCACAAATAAATTTACAAAGATAAGATTAAATATTTTTAAGAATGTCTATCCATTCTGATAGCACATAATGGGATCATCACGCCAAAAAGCTTACAGAATGACTCAACAAGTACAAAGTGGTTTCCCGAATGACTCATTTGGGCTTCACTTGGGTTGGTACAAGACAGTACAAGTGTATATTTTAATACTTCCATTGTACAAAATATACAAAAGGAAGAAATGCATCCTTACCTCAAGAAAAGCATATGATCCATTGCTGACCTTGGTCTCAAAGTGGTAAGCCTTCAAAGATCCAAATGCACCAGCAATCTCCATAAGCTAGACAAAGAAATATAATAAATAAGTCTTAATCATGGAAAGGCAAAGTATGTACATTTGAATACAAGAAGCTGTTAAATACCAAAAATATAATTTAGAGGTCTCAATGTCCAACTGTGAAAACATTTAAACACTACATTGGTTCCTATTCAAAACCCATTTAAACTTTTTTGTATACGGACTAAATCAACAACACAATTGTAGAGAGACCAAAATAATATTTAAAGTTTTAAACCTTTTGAAACAGGATTTTTCATTTCTTAATATTTACCATCTCAGAAGAAAGATGATTTGAAATTCCACCAATGAAGATCTGCAGCGACATAAAAGATACAATCACTACAAAAAGTTAATTGAGCAAAAAACCAACCAGCAAAACACACGAGCATTATTAGAAAAGATAGTTAAATGACCCAAAGCACTGAAATCAGAAAAATTGACACAGATCGGTGTCCTTATCAGATGCTAAACTTAAAACCCAAAATACACTTGAAGGTATGACATCAGGAAACAATAACTGAACAGTCAACATAACAGGCTAAGAAAATCTTTAAAACAATAAAAAGTTCACCAAGCAATTGTATCAAGTTATTTTGTTGAAATGGCCTGTAGTTATAATTTTAATGCATGCGCTAATTACAGCTAAAATGTTAGACCATGAAGGGAAGGTTTCAGAAGTAAGCCCAACAGCAAAAAAAGATATTTTCAACAAATGAATTTAAACCAAAATAGTCAGATTAAGCATGATGATCCCTTTATTCTCGAGAATATATTCATTTTAACATGAGATGTGTAAGAAAATAGATATTTGTGCATGTGATGCTCTAACTTCCTATAGGTTGGCCTCACTATCCTAATGAGTTATAATTGTAGTTTTGGACTTGGTCCCTTCTATTTAGAGTCTTTGAAATGTAAGGGATTGAGTTAAGGTACTTGAAATCAATTCTACACAATAAAAGAAAAATGAATGAAAATTATTCATAATATAAAAGCTAAGTGGTTAAAGTGAAGACAGACATTAACAACTATTAGTGCCTCTAAAGTACTTGTCAAACTAAAAGGAAAGTTTTATCATATTACTATACAATCAACTATAATATATGGTACTGAATGTTAGCCCTTAAAGAATAACCCGAGAAAAAAGTGAAAGTGGCACAAATAAGATTATTAAAACGGATGAGTGGTAAAAAATAAAAAAGAAATAATTGTATATGCAAGAATATTGGTGTAATACTTATAGTAAAAGAAGTGACGTGCAAAGGTTACTAGAGTAAAAAATAAAAAAGAAATAATTGTATATGCAAGAATATTGGTGTAATACTTATAGTAAAAGAAGTGACGTGCAAAGGTTACTAGAGGTATCAATGAAGAGAGTTGATGGCAATTTTTTTTCCGGAAAAAAAGATAGAAAGAACTAAGAAAAACTTTATAGAAAATTGTTGAAACAGAACAAGTGATAAATAATATTTCTAAAAAATTGATTTTTGACCTAGTTCAATGACTTTGTGTGATCCATGTAGTCAACCTTAACTATTGGGATAAGGCTTGATTGTTATTGTGTTGTTATTGGTTCCTTTAGTTTGGACTACAAGCGATTTTGGTATCAAATTTTTTCAAACCACTAAGTTCCTCTAATTTAAAATTTAGCAAATTGGGTTCCTTTGTCAACTTTTAAACCTAAAATTCTCCAATTCTCATTATCTACTCAAAACTTAAAAAATTGAATCAATTAAATTGTTTTAAACCTTCTTTTATTTCAAATTCATCAACCAAAACATTCAATTACACCCAAATTCATGAGACATGCTTATTTGTTGTTTTTAATATGTGCATGTGGTTTCCCCCTTATCAATCATTCCCAACGCCTTCATTGCACCAAAGAACTCATCTAACATCATTTTTTGACGACCTACCACCTCATTTATGCACAACAACCATAACAAGAGGTGCGCTTCCCCAAGATCTGCCAGACCCCAAAAAGCTTGAGCCTACAAACATCTCCACACACCTTCATGAGTGTTTCCAAACAGCAGTGTGTCTCTAGTGTGTAAAAGCCATGCACTGCTGTCTAAGTCTCCATTTGTCCTCAGTCCAAAAAATGTTTGTCTACACCTTCTCTCTTTGTTGGGACCGTCATACAGCCAACCACAACCTTTCGAGTTGTTCTCTCTCAAACCCTAACCCCAAACACACTAGTACTATATGGTGCTATCATGGCCAAAGAGGAGGGACCCAAAACCACTTTCCAGCCTACTGGAGCTCAACAAGCACCTCTAAACTTTCATGATCTTTCAACACTGCCTTCGTCTAACTGACTTAACAGCTAGGGTTATCTTCAGTGGGCCCAATTTGTCCAAAGAACCTTTAAGGGTAGAAAGCAGTAAACCACATTGAAGGAAAGGCTCAAATAAAGGGTGATGCAGAATGACACCTGGGATGATGAGGACTCCCTAGGGTACTCTGGTTTTAGAAATTAGCTGAAATTACAGGTAAGATCTCTTTCACTCAAAAGATTTGGGATATAACCTCAGTCAAACCTAATAACATATTCCAAGAAGCAGGATATCTCCACTTGTTATGAGTTCGAGAGCAAAATCTTTAATGCTAAACAAGGAACTCTTTCGATGACAGATTATAATGAAAGTATCCATGGCTTGTGGATCGACCTAGACCATTACCAAAATCTAAAGTTGAAGAATAGTGAAGATGCTACCACATTAGCTCAGTACAACGCACAGTCCCAATTTTCAGATTTATCTCAAGCCTTAATAATCCTAAATATGATCCCATTCGAGCACAAAACTAGGTAAAGATAAGTTTCTCTTAGTTTCCAGGGTATTCTATACTGTTCAACAAGATAAGAATCATAGAATGGTTAAGAATGAAAGAACCACTAAAGGTTCAGCCTTGGCTTCTGAAAAGATTCTTAAACTCAAGACAAATTCTTTGGGATTTCAAGAAAAAGGGAGGATCCCTATACTCCTATTGTAAGAGAACAAGTCACACCAAAGAGACTTGTTTTAAGATTCAAGGGAAAAAAATGTCCTCAGACACCTCAAAGGATTTAAGGGCTTGACATCACAAGCCCATTAGGTGCTCTCCAATGCAAAAGGGATGAACAGTGATTAATTAGCTCAAACAATTCCATACAAGTGTTATTATTATTATTCCTAGTCATAATAAAAAAGTATTGAGTCATTTGATCTTGCCCATTCTTGATGTGGGGGGAAATGGATTGCATCATTAATTGATGATTGGTCTTGTGTAATTTAGATATTCTTGATGAAGGATAAAATTAAAGTTATGCCACTATTCCAGATTTTATACCTTATGGTTCAGACTCAATTTGGGAAATAAAAAAAAAATGGCTACACTCTGACAATAGGAAAGAATATGTGAATCGACCTTTATTTGAGTTTCTCAAAAAGAATGGTATGATTCATGAGCTTACATATGTCGACACTTCGCAACAAAATTGGTTTTGCAAAAAGAAAAAACAGTCATCTCTCTCTTCTCTCTCAGATGTCAGTACCTCAATTGGCAGCATATCTAATAAACAGGCTACCTACTTAATTCTTGAAGGAGTTAGTCTTATCCAGGTTATATCCTTTCCTTCTACTCCCATTATTAACACTCTCGAGTGTCATGTGATTGAATGTTAGTGCCTTTGTTCATGTTCACAGTCAGTCCCATGGAAAACTAGATCCTAGAGCACTAAAATGTATACTCATTGGTTATCCTCCCAAAAAAAAAGCAGTACAAATGATATCACCCCTCAAGTCGTCATATTTACATCCCTATGTATGTCACATTTCATGAGTCACGATCTTATTACTTTGGTTCTCAGCTTCAAGGGGAGAATTTTCTTGAAGTTGAGAAGAAGTCTGAATCTCATCTTGAGTCCTTTGTCTTCCTTTTGACTTCCTTTTATCTCTACTTATGTAAAGCTTGACACCACCTAACTAACACCACAAAGGAGAAACCTCCATCAGCTAGTCCCACTATTAATAAATAAATCTATAATTTTTACCTCTTCAAACCCTAATCTGACATCCTTAAACCCATTAAATTTTATCAAATTTTTGCTTAAGTTCTAAAATTAATTAATATCCTAAGTTCAACATAAACCCTGCAAATATGAGAAAAAATTAAAAAATCGTTGGTTTCATGCAGAAGAAAATAGACATCAGGAACAAATTTGCTTTAATTTTAAATATAGAACTTAAACTAAATTAACAATAATTAGCTTGAAAAAACTAGGTCCAATATTGCACATATTTTTTAAACTAGAGGGATGAAAGTACAATTAAGCCTAAAATAAATGAATTGAATCAAGTGCGAGAGCAACGAAACTAGTACAAGTCTAAACTCAAAAGCAATAGCACAATACATAGTCCCTCAATATTACTTGTTAAATGTTATAGTGACTTTCCTCATTTTGGTCTTTGATCTTGACATGTGACCCAACCCAACAAGAAAATTCCAATATGTGTGAGAACAATGTGGGGGGTTTATAAGGCTCAGACTCTCAAACTACAACAGCCAGCTTTGGTAGTGTGTGATTCTCCCAAAGTTCTTATTAATTGGTATTAGTAGCCTTCCAACATGTCTCCTAGCTTCAAACAAGCGAACAGGTGATGACCCAGCATTGCAATGTTTCTGGGGCCAGTATAAGGGCCTAGTGCACAGCTAGCCTGCGTGGGTGTCAAGGCAAAAGCATGGTGGGATGTTAGGATTCAATTGCAAGGTATGCAATTTGGGCCACATTGGAAGTATGAGATTCTAATGTGGGGTTTATAAGGCCTTGTGCACTCCAACTACAACACTTACCTTTTGTAATGTGGTTCTCCCAAGGTTCTTATCAGTATGCTTATGTCATATCATTTCACAATTTCTATGACAACCCTTGCACGTTTCAAAAAAATCATACACCTATCCAGTTGGGACATATTCACTTCACATACTATGCACTTCTTCTAAAAATTTTAAACAGTCATCATAATTACATATGAATATAAATTATTGTTTGACTAAAGTACACCGAGTCAAACATGTTTTTGGTACACAATTTTTACAGAAATCATACATTAACACTCACTCATTTACCCCAGTGAGTTGCATTCCATACTAATAAAAAGAAGCCACTAAGTGTGAAAAGTTTAAGCCATTCAACCATGCCTATAAAAGAAAGGAGCATGCTCTGCATTCAGATCAACACTTACACATATGAAAATAAAATTATGGTTGTGCAGGCATACCTTGTTAGGCGAATCAATTACAACATCACTTATCGTAACAGCAGCATTCACTGATCTCTGCGGTTCACCAGTCTGCATGAAAATAGCAATTGTCTGAAAACCTGCTACATGGATGATAACCACAATGTACCTTAGAATTGTAAAGCTTAAAAAGGGCATTAGTTTGGAATAAGAATATCTTTTAGTCAGAATTAAAAAATATTAAGAGAACAGTTCAATAAATCTTACTTTTTAAGATAAAGAATGTAAGCACCATAAGTAACTTAACAAACAAAAATTTAAAAACAGAAAAGATCAGCCATCAATACAAAATCCTGCCAACAACTTCTCACTTATATCAGAAATGTGTCAAATAAACTGAAATGAGTAACCAACATCTAACACAGCACAAGAGTATACATTTTATTAATTTATACTAGTCATTAGAGCTGTTCCATGTTTTCATATTAATCAATATCCTATGCAACATAAAAATTAAAAATGGCTTCTTCTTTCAGAGGTTAAAATCCTCCTATGACAAACCTAGAGATCAGAAACTGTTGAAGAACAGGATGTTTCTTTTGTTGTTTCAAGGTGATTGAGGGAAAAAGTAAAAGCAATTAAATTCAACATTACTTTTACCAACAAATACTGTGTCAAGAAATACCAATTTTAGTATTGCCATAAATCAAATCATTTGTAACATACATGGTCACATTAAATACTATTAATTAACAGAGCAGAAAAGAAAAATAAAAATGTTGCAAGCACTTTGAAATTTCTTTTTTTTTTTTTTATGTTGTTCAGCTATGACCCCCTGCATAGGATCAAAAGGAACATAAAAAAGAGAAGTTAAGACATAAAATTGAAGTCTCCACTAGCAGAACCAAAAAAACTCATTTTTGTCATGCAATTACATGGCAAGTGGCAACTCCCTGCAAGACAGCATACCCATTCTGCCACAAAATTAAGTGATCTTGTGATCATAAACAAAATGAACAGAAATACTCAGACCAAATCACCCTTCAGCGATAAAATTACACAAGTACATACAGTCTCACAAAGGACACCATGTACGGATGAAAAACCAGCGGCATGTTTAAGACAACATTCATTCCTTTCAGCATGTATCATTCATATATTGAAATTGACTACAGTGAGAAAAGGACCATTTAGATTAAAATGTGAACATACTCCAAATCAAGCAAGGTTCTTTAAGCAATGTTTAAGTCAAGTAATAAATATCAATATGGATGAAATTTTACGTAAAAAGGGATAAAATATCAAGCAAAGAATGGTGAATCCATCACACCCTTTTTTAGGTAAGATGCACCTCATCTGAATTCATTAAGGAAGACACATTTTCATCACTCAACATAACCCAAATGTTCAACCCTAAGGATATTGGACATGAAGAAAAATCAGGATCCCCAGGAAAAGTACAAAGCAGGCACCGGAACCAAGAGTAACATAAGAAACTCAGAAATAACTTGCAACCCATAGCACTTACATGCTGAACCCGATATAACAAACAAAGCATGAGATCATAAATAGCATTGTCAGAGCAGCCTAGAACAATAACCCTGAAACATTGGGCAGCTAAATCCTGGTAACGCATCAAACTTGTCAATACACCTGGAAGTCTTCTTAATTAGGAGTCAGCTTCATCACCATCCAGAATGTGTATTACGATATACCCCATATAAACATCCTATTTGAAAGATTCCAATACTAGGGTCAGAAAATATCTCATAAAATGGAACAAGCAGATCACTCCATGTGAATTATAAAGCTCTTGAAGCTACAGAAGCAGTTTCTAGCATTTGGTTATGAACAATATGAATTTATTGTCCAAATGTCCAAGAAACCTATGACTAGATATGTCACAAAACAAATTCTAAGTTCATAAAGAACACCTTACCAGAAAAACACAGGATTGGAACTATACACGGCCAAGTAAAATTGACATTTAAGCCTTCAAGGCTGAGGACAAGACTGCCTATAAAAGTTAGGGTTTATAAAAGTTAGGCCTCCTTGACACACAAGATTCTTCAGGCACGACAGAATTAATCTAGAAGTGTTTTCCTTTATTATAATTTTAATAATCGTGTTTTTTATGTATGACCCAAAATTAGGATCTAATACTCTTGCTATATTCTTCAAACAAAGGTATTCAATCAGCACAACTACAAACTTGATTATTAGCAACCAATGCAGTATAAACCACCATTAGTTTCATTTTTATGAGCATATCAGTGGAAAAAAATAGTGATAGGCTATAGTGTCCTAAAACCTAACAAATATGCATAAAGATGAAAGATCACAATATTCCTGTCCTCTGAAAAGTGCATCATGACTAATAATACTTCAATATAATGATAGTTACCAATTAGGGTCACTAGTTTTCTTCTAAGAATGGAAATTACATACTAGCTTATGGTGTGGCCAACATCGACTCATAAAAAACATAACCATGAAATTTATTTTTGCATAAAACATAAGCGTTGAAAATGAAATAGAATTACATTTTAAATACCCCAATAGAGCTAAACAAGCGCTTTAAGAATTTGATTTTCCACAGTTACTTAAATATAGATAGGCTAGTTGCAATAGGTTCAATTACCTGTGATTCTGTATAAAATCAAATACCTGGACTTAACATGATTAATACTAATAAACAATAGTAAAATTCATAAGCTTTACTATGCCACCTAAAAGTAAACAATCTCTGTAGCTACTAGCTCAGAAACAGTAAACAATTTTTTTGCATTGTAAAGTGGCTACCTCTCATCAGAATAACATATTTTGAATTCTTGGCAGGCACTAGGTATGTCTTTAAACTTTTGAGCTCCATTTTATGATTTTGGTATAAAGATTGTCAAAATTAGGAGGCAAAGATTTTGTGGTAATGTGCTATTTATGCAGTCATTTGGAGCATTTGATTGGAGTAGAATTCCCAAATTACCAAGAATGTCTCTTCTAGTTTTCCCATATCCTTGCCATGGATATAGGATTAAATCCCATCTTGACAACTACTCAGAATCAATTTCTCCTACCATGACTAAGATTACTATGAGCACACAACCCATTTATGTTCAACAGTTAAACTTAATTTTATCAAAATCAATTCTACCAAACTTTAAACAAGCAGGCTTTTAATCTCTATGGTGTTCAGCTCACTGCTATTTCAAGCAAGTTGTTCTTTCTGTCATTATCATAGAGACAGTAGCTTTACTCTTTTAGTTATTATGTTTCTTCTTGTATCCAGATGTATTAATAAAAAAACATCACTTTTCAAAATCCAAACAATATAGCTAAGAAAATCAGTGATAGAATACATGGAACCTGAGTTTGCTCAGAGAAAGAATACCCCATAAACTCATCTTTAGAAGGGCAAGTCAGATTGCCAAATTTTGCAGGAAAAACCGAAAAAGTAACTAAAACCTATAATTCTAGCATTTTTAAATAACTTAAAAGACCATCATATCCAAGACACAACCATAAACACAGAACTGAAAGGCAAAACTATTTGATTATTCATTTCTAAGATAAATAAAATAGAAATAATGAAAAAATTGTCATAAATTAATTGCATTTTCCATCAAACAGAGACTCCAGAAAACATACATTTTAAAAAATTTCTATTCACTATTTTTAGATTCTGATACTAACTTTAAGCTTAAATGTAGTGCAGACAAACAATAAAATGCGATGAAATTTTATACATGCCCAGCCTAGGTATCTATTTCTTTGTGGACACAGTACACAGAATAACAATAAAGGTTAATTATTCAAAAAACAGAGTGTCTGACTGGTCTGACAATATTGTGGTTAGAAAAGATCAAATGTTCACATTAAGTATGCATATATTAGATAAGGGGATTCCCTTTGCAGATACACAGTGATTTTAATTGTCCCTACAATTTAGTTATTATGATGGGAAGGTCTATAAAATATCTTATTATAATATCTGACAGACCCCCAAGTACTAAGACCTATGCCAACAAGGTGGCAGATGGGAAGAAGAGAAAAAAGAATCAGAACATATGGGGTAAGGACAGAATGGAACATTCAATTGCAGCACAACAGGATGCCTATCTAGCAGTGACAAATAAGGAAAGAGGAGATTCAGTTTGTAGGTTTGGGCAAAGAGGTGGGCAGACCCTCAAATCTGTATGTGATTCTATCTTTTCATTTTTCTGTTTTTTAGGGTAACCAAATTGATTTTCCCTATTGTAAGGAGCTATACTCCATTGTCTCTTATAAGAGTCAAAAGCATTTCCTATCAATATCTCAAATTTCTACACTGGATCATTCACAGTTTGAGGGGGAAAAAACAGTATAAGTCACAAAACTCCAGACCAACTTGCTTCTAATGGTTTCAGTGATAGGTAATTTTATAGCCAATCTTGAGTTGTAATAAAGTACCTTGTCAATAAAGTCTCGAAACTAAAAATGAAATCATCAGGATATAAAAGTCAAGTTTAAGAGCAGGAAAAGATCTCAAGTATCAATTATACAAGACTGAACCCAAGATGGATGCACCAAGGGTCAGATACATGTCACAGGCTTTTGACATTACCAGAGAAAGCACTTGTTCAATTTGGCTTCCCTGCAATTTTGAAAGATTTTGAAATAGAAAGGTAGAGCCATCCTAAAGTAATTCAAGCCGTAAACAAGGGTCATCTAAGATCCATTATGACTGTAAACTGCAGTTTGGTAACTAACAGAAACTAAAAACATTGATTCCAATACAACAATACCTGGCAAATACAGAAAACCTAAGCAAATACTTGTAGTTCATTCATTAATAGTCATTAAAGTGCACTTACAATAGGAACCATAAAGCTTATTTTGTATTAGCCATACAGAAAACACTAGCAGGTATCCATATTAAGTCAAATTAATGTAACATAAACATAGAAATTTCATTTCCCTTTGAAATAAGCAATTATTTTCTTCAGATTAAAAGTAACCATGCACCATTGAGAAAAACCCACAACTTCATTCACTAAGGATTAATTATTCATTTTAAACAAAAACATTGTAGATTGATCATTTCATAAAATTCAATAAAGCTAGGAATATGAACAAAAAGTATAGAAGAAAGCACAAGCATAGTAAGTGGAATCTTTTCAAATTAAAACATCACTCTCATCACAGTATCAATAAGCAAAGCAAATCCCAACTGAAAAAAAAAAAAAAAAAAAACTAGTCAATCTAAAGCAGGTGGAAAGTGCTGGTAAGCAAAATAAGTGGTAAGACAATTTTCATCTGACACTTCTCTATAAATGGTTTTAGTTTTTTTTTTAGTAATCAACATTTTGATAAAGGAAATACCAGAATGTAATATCTAAAACAAAGCAAAAATAAATATTGAATTCAAGAAGAGACAAAACCAATCACTACACCAACAGCTACTATATTAATATAGTTATTCGTCACAAATGGAAGAAAAGAAGGGATGGATAAGGTTTTCATTCTTACTGCAACTTCAACATAGTCTTTGGGGCGTCTAATTTTCACAATGGAGCCAAATAGTGTACTTCCATCAAAAGAAAGAGCAGCTGATGCAGCCTCAGCTGTAAGGAATTCTATGAGTGCTTGCCCCCTATCTTTATGCAACTGCAGTGAAGATATGCAAGAACAAACTCAAACCCATTGCTTCATAAGAGGGGCAAGAAAACAAAATTTTCAAATTTTGCACTACAAACTCACAATGCAACTGATACATGGTTGAGCTTGCTGGATATGATTTACACCAGCAGAGAGTAAGAGGTTATTGAAACATTCCATAACAGCTTTTTCAGAGGCAGAAGCAGGTAGATTCTCAAGATAAAGCCTTCTCATAGGCCGTGTAGCTTGTGTCAATTGGACAGAATCAATGTTGGTATTCTTCCCAGCTAATACACCATTCAGAAAAGACACTGGCAGAGGCTTCACAAGGGCTAGATCAAGAGAACTAGCCGAAGCCACATTATGCATGTTGGATAACACAGCACAATTTGATAATTGAAAACTTGAAGAAACAACAGCTGGAGAAGGATTATTTGTCCCTACAGGAGGGAGATCCCATCCAGCACGTCTCTTCTCTACAGAATGCTTAGATGGTGAAGGAGTCTTAATAGCAGCCTCACTTTTTCTCTTCCTCGGTGAATATCCACCAAGTCCACTTGTGGAGCCACCATGACGATGATGATGACTACTTGAACCATTAGTTGATACTCTATTTCTATCAACATCAGAATGCTTTTTTCGAGAACAATCTTTCTGAGAAAGCATAGACAACTCTTTACGCTCTCCATCTTGATAAGTATGTTTATGCTCCCTGGGTGAAAAAGAAGGGGACCTTCTTCTATCATCATATTCTCGACTTCTTGAACGTCTCCTCTTTGCTGTTTCTTCGTGATGTGACTTCACCTTTTCTCGCCTCTCCTTCCTCTCACTAATGTGCAGGTTCCGATGCTTCACAAGATCTTGTTTCCTTGGTTTATTCTTGTCTTGAGTTTCATCATCTCCATTTCGGTATTTTCTCTTGGTTTCTCTGTCATATTTTGTTCTACCCTCTGCATGCTTATCCATATCTGATTCTCTATAATGCATCTTTTCAGGCACTTCTCCAGAATCATTGCTTAATCGCTTTTTCAATTTCCACCTATTATCTCTATCTTTGTCACGCCTCTTTTCAGTAAAATAGTCAATAGGATTCTCATCCTTTCCAATGTTGTTCTTTTTCTTTATGTCCCTTTCAGATTTTGGTCTATCTATTTCTCCATAACTATCCTTGTTAACTGAATTTCTTGAATGCTTATTTCCAACTTTATAATCAGAATTATCACTAATTCGATCATTTTTTCTATGACCACACATCTCTGTTCCAGTCTTTTCTTTAGTTGTCCTGCCTTTATTATTTAATCCAGCACTTGATTTGGTTTCTATAATATAGTTTGCTCTAGCTTTCCCTTCAGTTAGATCATCTTCCTTTACATAGGTGCTTTCAATCTTCTTTCTAGAACTTACATTCACTGGTTCCTCTGAACCATGTTTATCCATGCCAAAGGATGAACTTTTATCATGTTTATAGATTTTGGCAGACTCAAAATGATCAGCAATTTTCTCCGAAGAGCCTCCATGTGCAGGGTCTTTTACTTTTTCAAGCAGTTCTTTGTTTCTTCTTCTAAGCATAATCTCTTCAAAACTTAATGGCCTTGTACGGGCAGCACTCTCTTCATCACAGTTTTCCTCAGAAAGCCAACTTTTTCCATGCTTCTCCTTTGAACGATTAGATCTGCTCATCTTGTATGATGCAAACAAATTACAAAAGAAATTAATTATGTCCCTGCTAAGAGATTAAGGAGAGCACCAATGAAATGACATGTCAAAATCTTGAAACTATGCAAAGATAGATTACACCATTCCTGAGGAACCCAAAATGGAAAAGCAATGAGGTCACAACCACAAAGATGCATCAATATGCAACAACTCATTCAAATAAATGCAAAGCAGAAAGTTCCATTTCAAGCATCAATATGTTTGTTGATTTCTTTCAAAAATGTTATGAAGTAATGATTAAACTACAACAAAATGAATATAATATATAAATTTGTTCCTATTATATGGATCCAGTCTCTAGAAAGATGTACTTAGCCAAATTAACAGTCAGATTGATCAGTAGATCTGAACTCCAGATGATGACTTTGTCAAAAATATTGTAAAATGCATAGTACACAGTTAACAAACCGAAATCAACTTCAGAAGACTAAAACCTTATAAAAAAAAAGGTACATTGCACCAGAGTGCAAACTTCAAAAAAATAACTTCAATTTGTTTATTGCATAACAATACAACAAAATAGACCAAAGCTTTAATCCTACTAGATGGGTGATCAGCAACATGGATCAAATGACATCATTTTAAATCCTTTTAATGGTTTCACTTAGAACTGTCTTGGTTTCCCTCTACCTCATTAAGATATCCTCCATACAACATTGCTAGTCTTGCAATAAAATTTTTCTTTCAGGTTGAGAGACATCTTTCTATCACAAATAACACCTAAAACATTCCTTCATTTCATCTAGCCAGCCTGATTCTTACAATTTATATTACCCTGCCTATTTCTCCATCACTGCATATGGAAGATCCAAGATACCCAAATTTTGTGAGGTATAATGATCTCCAACTTTCACCTCCGAGCTGATATCACAACATGTCCTGTTGAACTTTCATTTCATTTACTCAGTTTTATTTCAACATAAACACAAGTCATGCCATTCCAAGGCTTCACTCCATAACTCTGCTTTAACATTTATTTCCTCACTCTCGATCCTCCCATTAGAGCAATATCATCTTCCAAAAGCATGCATTAAGGCATTGCCTCCTGGATATGTTAAGTAAGAAAGTCCACAACCAAGGTAAAGTTAAGGAAGCAAGGTTGACCTACAAAAATCCACACAGCCTAAGTCCTAACAAGCTAAAATATCAATGTTTCAAGCACCCGCCACTGCCCATGTAATGCCATTTATGCCCCAAAGTTTCAAAGTTCAGAATCAAATTTGAACCATAGGGATGAGTGCTTAGCATACTACTACTAACAATTACTACTATCATTAACAATTTGAACTTTATCAATATATATGTGTGTGTGTGTGTAACTAACAGCACTAGTCTCGTTCATTTTCCTTTTATTAGTGAATCTCTAGCATTCTCAGCATACATATCCAGAAATCACCTTGAAAATACTTATACTATACAGTATAGATATCCAGAAAGCACAGAACTACTAGTAGTTCCCAACTGAAATTTGAAGTTACACTTACCGAAGCATTTTTTTTTTCTCTTCTCTTTTTTTGCCTTCTAATAATCTAACCTATGAACTTAATATGCTAAATTGCAATTGTATTCCTAATCAATCCTCTAAACTAGGGTTTATGCTTAGCTGTAAAACCTGCGATACTTTTCAAATCCCAAAACCTAAATCGAAGGTAGTTAACTTCATCAGTAACACATAACCAAAACTTAATATTCGAAAACGCAAAATGCAACCGCGCAACGAGACGAAGAAGAAAGAGAACCTGAAGAGAGAAGGGTTAAGGTGCGGTAGTTGGCGACGGTGGCAGCGGTGGCGAAGAGAGTTAGAACGAAACGTGTGGGCGGTGTGTTATCTATATTCAACGCAATGCGTACTGTTTCCTCACTTCATTTTTCTCCTTTTATTTTTAAAATTAAAAAAATAATTGCAAGAAATAAATATCCCCTTAAAATTTTAAATTTATTTCTACAACAAATTAATGAAAAGAAGGTTTCTCTTCTTATTTCATATTTCGGTTCGAATTTTTTTAACCTATGCATTTGTGTATGTATTGTTACTAGTTGTATTATAATTTTAAAGATTTTATATAATTTTTAATTTAAAATATATTATAACCATTAGACTTTTTTAAGAACTTGGACGAAATATCATTTCAATTTTAGTAATAAAAAAGAAAATGAAATTACATAATAAACAATTTATTAATTGCATAATTATGTTAACTACAATAAATACAAAATATTTTTATATGTGTATATGTCTTTTGATAGATATATTTATATATCTTTTGCTTGTTTCATAAAAAAAAAAATATATATATATATATATATATATATATATATCTTAATTGAATTAGATTATAAAATGCATAATCGTAATCATAAATAATTTATATTTAATATTATAATCAAATAGTAAAAGAATTTATAAGTTGGATAAGTTTGATAAATTAAATTTTAGTTAAATTAAAATTATTTCCTAATTAAATCAAGTTCACGAGGAATTAAAAGTGTCACTGTAGCCTACTTTACTTTAGACAGCCCAGCCCACCTGTTTAGAGATGAGTCACAGGCTAATCCATTCCCATCCTCATTTTAAAAGAACCAACAAAAAATTATAAAATATTAAAACTAAAAATAAAAAATATAAATATTATCTATAATTACAAATTTAGAGTAACAAAATATAATTAAACTATAATTTTATAATAATAAAATACACAAGTTTCAACAATTTAAAAAACTTAAATCATAAATCATAATCCATTAATTCTCAGATCAAAACAAAGTAATAGTTTACAACAATTTTAAATAATAGCGACATGCAATTTAAATAAATTATCATCAACATCAAATTTATGCAACCAATTATGAGTATATGTCATAACTTCCAAATTTTTTAATAAGAGATGATTGATGTACTTATTGAATTTCATTTTAGTGAAAGAAAGTCTTATTCTTTTTAGATATTTTAAGAATACAAAATTATTTTAAATTTTTTGTTTGAATCCAAAAAATATATAAAACATTAGATGAATGAATTACAAAAAAAAAGGAGATTAATTTTGAATTTTTTTTATAATACATTCTGATATTAATGACCTTGATTAATTTTTAGATTTAAAGATATTGAGAGAAATGCTAATTAAAAATTTAATACTCTAATAAAAGTGTTAATCTATATCAATAGATTATATTCTTATCTAAATATTTGTATTTCTTTAAAAGTTGCTATTGTTGAAAGAATTTTTAAAAATTTTAATTAATTAAATCTTAACTTATATCAACAATATTACAAACATTATCTTTTGGGAGTGAAAATAATATGAAAATTAATTATTTAGTATTTACATTATACTAAGTCCTTTGAATCAATAATTTTGTACAAAGGTACAAAATATTTAGACATTGGAAAATACAGAAAAATAAAAAAGACAGTGTGTGTGTGTCCTTGGTTGAATCATGGATGGAGCTTGAGAGTTCAAACACATGGAGATTGAAAATTGAAGACGATCCACAAAATAAACAATCAAATATTTGGTTTTGGGATAATTAAGCATCAATGTGGTTGACATGTTGAATTAGGGAACTAGTTTAGTGTTAAACAAAATATTTTGTTACAAATTTCCAATAAAACAGTTAGCGTAAACTTTGCATTGGAGCGCAGTGCAATATCTCAAAGAAAATTCTGAAGCGTTATATAGTCAAACCTCAAGGGAGGTTTGTGTTATTTACTAAATAAATAAATATATTGTAGTCTCATTTGTTAGGAATATAGACTTTGCCAGTGGTTTATCATTGTTGTTATTTTTCTCTCACATGCTAGTTTATTAATTTTTTTAATTAAAAAACGAAGAAATTTCATATTTTGTTTTAGGAGAAATCAAAAAATATTTATCAAAAGAAACTGTTCCATTTATTTGCCCATTTTTAGTTCCCGATAAAGTGAAAATATTTATATGTATTATTTTCACACAAAATATTATAATTTAATTTTAAATTTAGATTAATTAAAGTCTCTCACAAACGATTAAATTTGTCAAATGAAATTTTAACTATTTTTTTTATTTTTTTTTATAATAAAAGAGTCATTTATGGTTCTAAATAGGGATAATCATCACATGAGCCTTTATTTTTTATAAAAAAATTAACTCTCAAACAAAGCTTAAAATATTTTTAAAATTATACAAAAGTAAATTAAAAATAAACATAAAAATTCATGTAGCTGACAAACTTTCAAAGAGAATGTTATATTTTAAAATAATTTATCTTTAGACAACTACTAATCATAATATCAATAAAAAAAAATTTATTGATATCAAAAGTTACTAGTAATTTTTTTTTAGAGAATGCATAATAACTATGCTATTATTGACTACTATTGGTATTTTTTTTCAAAGATGATAAAATTTAAAAATTAAATAGACAAATAACTACACTTACATCTAATAATGAAAAATACATCTCCAAAGAAATTATACCTCAATGCTTTGAAAATAAAATACTATAAAACATGACATATTCACTAAAACAAAAACATTAGGAACAAAAAGCCAAACTAAAAAAATTAAAGTCTTACTTAGGAATTAATTTTTGTTGAAAGAAAGGGAGGAGAAGAGAGGAAAAACAAAGACTTGGATATGTTTGATTACTGTTTTGAAAAGAATTTTTTGTTTTTAAAAATAAATTTTAATACAAATTTATACTAGAATTTATTTTTAAAAACAAAACTGTTTTTAAAACATTAATCAAACATATATGACAATTCTTATTTGAGAGTTTTTAGATTAGAATAAAATATTTTATAAACTGTTCAAAGTCTTCATAATCCTATGTTGTTAAGTTCTCCAATTTAAAATATTTTGAATTAACCTTCCTTCCTCTTTCCTTTCATTTCCTTCCCCTCCCATCTCCTCCCTTATCTTTCAAATTCATTTTCTTCCCTCTCCCTCTAAACTCTCATACTCATTCTACTTTCAAGATCAATTTTGTTCCCACAAACAAAAATCTATCAAAAAAAAATCTTTTTTTTCATTGCCACTTCTTTTTATTGTATTTTGACAAAGCCAACTCTACCAGCATAGCAAATTTGCTTTCAATCAAGAAGTTTAAGGCTTATTTGGAAGTTTGGTAGGATAGAGAAATGAAGGGTAAAGAAAGTTAATAAAAAGTCCTTCAAAATGAAAGAATTTAAGATTATAGATTTAGGTGAGTTTTGAAAGGTTTATAAAACTACTTATTATCATCTAAAAACTTCTAAATAAGGATTATTATCAAATAAGTCTTTTCCTTCCCTCCCTTTCTCTCTAAAAACTAACTCTCAAACAAAGTTTTAGGAGAGGGAAGGATAAAGGTTTGGAGGGTAGGAAAAAAGAAGAGAAGGAGAAGGAATGAGGGCTAATAAAAAACTTTCCAAAATCAGAGAATTTAAAAACATGAGTTTATGAGAGTTTACAAAATCTCGTCCTTTCATCTAAAATCTCTCAAACAAATATTATGATTAAATAAGTCTCCTCTTCTTCCTTTTCCTTGTCCTTTCATCTAAAAACTCTCAAACAAATATTATGATTAAATAAGTCTCCTCTCCTCTCTTTCCCCTTAAAACTAACTCCCAAATAAAACCTAAAAGACCATGAAAAATAAATGGATCATACCAAAGTCAATGAAGGAGAGGGTAGGTGGTAGCTTGAAAACAAAATATAGAATGTTAAAGAAGATAGAGAAAAAAAAATGACTAAAATTTTTTTTGACTAATAAGAGTAAAAAAACTCTCTAAAATTGTTCCCTGCTTAACCACCAAAAATTGAAAGATTTAAGAAATTTTAGGAGGGTATTAAAAAAAGGAACTGATAAAATTAATGTATATATTTTTGTTGAAAATCATAACAAGCGTACATTGGTGGGAGAACATGGATATCGTTTTTTTTTAATAAACTATCTATTTTTAATTTCTTAAAATTTGCTGAAGTTATAAGTTTTGGAGGCGTAGCAGATGGCTACTTGGTGCAGCTAATAACCAAACGAAAACCAAAGAAACCACGAGTGATTGGACATTTACATCAAGCAATCCAACGATTTTTTCACACTAGTCCCAATCTTGCACTTGTCACAATTGTACTGATCAATTTCGTATCTTCGTAGAGAACATGTTATTCTGAACTTTCCAGCAAAGAGTTTTTTGTATTTTTTTTTTACTAGTAAGAGTAACCTTGGATCTGTGGTGAAAAATCTTTATTTCTATTTGACGAGTTGGTCAAAATGAATCTGGATTCTTGCTGCAAGTTACATCTCTAATACAAAAAAAAATCCTACACTAGCAATAAAAGAGAATAACCAACATACAATTTGTGCATCACTCATACAATCGAAGGCTGAAAAACTTAACCTTCTCTGCCAAAATTTAATTTCCACCAAACCAACATCTTACAAGAGAATAACCACTCCCCCCACAGGAATTACAGAAAATAACACTAAAGAATCACAGAATAATCAGTCCCCAAAAGAATTGAAGAAAATAACATTATAAATCATAAGAATCTCCCTATTATGTTATAGATTATAATGAGAAGATAAGCACAAAGTTATCAGCCTCTACTTCCACTTTTTTGTTTTTGGTCAACAGCCTATACTTCCACTTTAACATACAGAGCAATCCATATCTAAGGCATAAAACATGAGCTGCCAACTAAAACCTACCATATCATGATAGATATATAGGGTGAAATATGGATTTCTGTTACTTTTTGTGGAAGTGGAAGTTGTATTTAAAATCATTCTTTCCACATATCTGCAAACTCATCAGGCTCTAGAGGATTAGACATCTCATGCATTTTCCTCTTGGTCTTTGCTTTGACCTTCTTTGCAAACTTTCCAGCCTTCTTCCTTTTCTCCAATGCTCGAATCTATACAAACCAACATTAAGAAGCCATGAACATAACCAATGATAATGTTGTTTCAGTAGAAAACTAGAGAAACTATAAGTATAGATGGGGAATATGCTGGCCAGTACCTGATTTGGTGACACATAGAACGGATTCTCGTATAAAGTTGGGCCTCCAAAACTGCCACCGAATATTTTAATTGGGTTCAAGCAAAATCGTGGACCAACCTAAACAAGTATTGCACACACAGGTTAAAGGAATATTGGAATTCTACACATCAAAATATAAATCAATAATCAATTTTCAAACCTCAATCAATGTCATTTTATCAAGGCCTCCTCTCGGTAATTTGTCTGACTCATTATGAGGCACAGAGATCTGCACAAGAATAAAGATGTGGGTAACATGCTTAGTAGGCATCAACAATAAGAAGCAGAAAAGGAGAAAATGCTATAGCATGGCAAAGTATTATTCAATTTTGATCTATAGCTAGTTTTAGGAATTTTGCACTATCTGTGAACCACATGGAGCCATGTTTTCAATACAGAAAATCAGTTGCAAGCTTTCCTTGCAAACTTGGGAAGCAATAGTGTGGTGGGACCTCTTAGTTCATTGATAGTAAAAAATGCTTTTTATAATATATCAAATTTAAACTCTTATCATATGGCCCATTATTCTCCATCCTCAAAGTTGTTGAGTTTTAAAATATTCTAATTTCATCCTGAAGTGTATTTGTTAAGGAACCCATAGATAATCCTTCAAATTGGAATGTTAAGAATAGAAGCTCTGAATCACTCCTCAGTAACGTTCACAAGAAAGAAAAAGGTTTATATTTTTCATCGCAAACTTCACTTCTATTTTTAATCCCTAACAAAAACAATCAACATAATTATAATCAAAATGTACACATTTTGTTTGATTAGAAGGTGGAAAAAAGATCCAGAACAACAAATCTCCAGATTTTATCCTATCATATGCCAATCTTTTACATCTTGTGCAAATACAAACACAAACCTGATAATTCCGGAACCATATATGGTCATCAACTATTGAGAAAACAAAAACGTGATCATGAAAAGGCTTTGACTTTCTATGGTCCTTTGATGTTTCAAATATCTGAGTAAAAGAAAGAGAAAGTATGTCAGAAATAATCAAAATTGTCAGAACTTTTACTATTTAATCAACCAGAAACCACACACATCACACAGAAAAAATCCACAGCCCACACTCAAATACAGTACTCAGGAAAAAGCATCAGAAATAGAGAAAATTATGGATATGAATATATTGCATGGAACAGATCTTCAAATCCTACTCAATTAAATTATGCCAAAAGATGAACATAACATTAATAGAATTTCTCTGGTCAGTAGCAACAAATTAAGAAAATACTCCTAGGCAAATATATAACAACACAGCCATAGTATAAGATCACAAATACATCAGGAAAGTGCATATGAAACAATCTTTGATTAGCTAGCAATTTATGCTGTACAACACTACGAAGCAACAAATATTGACAAAATTATTGAACTAACATTGTACATGAAATAGTACATACAAGAGTAATCAACAATTAGGGATTTCCTAATCTTCTTTCAGATGAAACTGGATAGACAATTAAGAAATACTGCTTGCAAGGAAAGAAACCAACCAAATACCTGTAACAGCATCTCCTTTAACAGTTTCCAATGTGCATCTTTCTCAAAATTTGCTGAAAATGTCATAATAGGACGGGAACCCTTTAAGTGGTTTCCAGTTAGCTTCAATTCCTCCATTGTGTGCACTGGAAAGCATTGAAGTAAAATGAGAATTCAGTAAAATGATATCAGGAAAAGTTGAAGAGAGAGAAACATGAACATCATAATTCTACAAAGAGAATGAATAATAACTATACGAAGCCCAGAACAGTACATCATCATAGTAGGAATTTTAATATTGTAGGAATCATATGATGAGAATCATGAGAATATTACCAGCACTAACTAAAAATTTTACAGATGGGCCACTAGGGCATTTTGCCATCCAGAGATACAGATCTTTTTGCTTCCTGCACTGAAATTCATACATAAAAAAGGGAGAAGACACTAGTCAGAATGTAACAAATTGACCAGAATCAAAGTCATAACTATGAATTGGACTGTAAAATATTACCCCAATTGTCAGAGTTCAAATTAAATCAAATGCTTAAATACATGGAAAAGCCAACGTAGAAATTCATTTGAAATGGATAAAATATGAATCCATAAATAAAAAATCATATGTAGTTGAAAGTAGCCAACAATAGCTTATCACATCTACACAACAACAACACTGACATTTGTGACCAATAAAAGAATCCTTACACCAAAAACAGGCAGAAAAATTTCTCTCAATAACATAAAAATATCGTATATACTAATCTAGCAAACAGCAGCATAACAAATTGATCCTAATTTAACCAAAGACAGCACTGAAAGACCCTACGGCACAGAAGAAAATGAATACCTCAAAAAATAAACAAGAGGAACAATTTTTGAGCTCGACAAGCTCGTTGAGGGTGGCAGCTTTAGTTTCCTTCGATTCAACCTTGTTATCTTTCTTACAATGAGGCAAAAGCGACACCACATTCAACATCAAATGGCGGTACCTATCGATTTTACCAAAAATACACTCCATTCCATCAACACCATAAGACAAGACAAAAGTTTCTTTGTTTTCAATTTTATTCAGCAAGACAGTACTTCAATTATAATTATTTTTTAAATTTCTAACAGAATAAAGTAACAGAAACTCCAAACAATTACACAAAATCTGTAACTACTAACTTCAATACCTGTAATTAATGCGCCTAGAGCAAGTGACCAATACCTTCTCTTTGTTCCTAAATATAGGTGAGTCACCATTATCCTCATTCTCATTACTGATTTGATTCTTATCCTTCCATCCCAAAAGGGTTCTAACTGGTCTCTCTGGAGCAGAGTCTTCCTTCTTGGGCTCAGTAGTCTCACTGTGCTTTCTCTTCTTCCCCATGTTTTATCTTTTTGGTGAAAAATCTACATTGCCCAACATTCAAAATCACAAAAGAACATAAAAAGAGAATAAAAATTTGGCACTGACCCACTTGGCCTCTTTACTTCACAGAACAACTTCATTGCCACACACACTCACACACACACAGAGAGAGAGAGAGAGAGAGAGAGAGAGAGCAAAGCAAAACACACCAATTCAGAAAGCACGAGCAAACACAAACAGAGAGATTGAACAGAGAAAGCTGAAAGGTGGAAGCAGAGAAGAACAACCACCAAAGAAACTATTCCATACCTATTAACAGAGAAGAACTCTTGCGTAACTATGGGTGGAGGGTTTTGGGTTTTGGGACTAGGGTTTTTACTTTAAGACTAATACATAGCAAAAACTGTCTAAGACATATATTTAGTATTTTATTTTTAAATTGTTAGGAAATAGGGAATAAAAATTAAAGTATTATAGAAAATTATTTTGTAAACATAAATAATGTTATTTTAATTATTAACTTAATAAAAATATTATATTGTACTCAAAATATTTATCTATCGCATTAGAACAATATATTTATTTATGGGAAGAAACCAAATTGCTAGAATGTGATATGGTTTTCTTTTTCTTCTTTTTCTTCTTTTTTTTTTTACTTTTTATTTATTTTTGAAATTATTAATTAACTAATCAAATAATTTTTTTAATGTTTATAAAATTATATTTAAATTTATTTATTAAATTAATATTTTTTGTTTTTTACTTTTTTAAAAATATTTTATATCATTAAATTAATTTGTAGTTAAATTTATTTTTGTTGATTCTTAATTAAGATAATAAATAATTGACAAGCCATATTAATTTTTTAAAACATTTTAAACAAATGTATAAAAATAATTAATAAATTTATTATTTTAATTTGATAATCCACATAACACAACTTTATTATATTTAATTAATTATTTAATAAAATTATTTTATTTATAATATTAAACAATATAAATTCTATTAGGTTATTAAGTAATATAGAATTATATAATTACTTTCAAAAGTAATTATATATTTTTTAATATTTTTTATTCAACAACTAAACTTAAAATTAAAAATATATATTACATTATTATTAATTTTTATTTATAATATTTTTAGATAATAAATATAACAATAAAAATTTAATATATTTATTTTTAGGTATTAACATATTCACATATATTTATATTAAAATTATATTTTTAAATTCCATATATTAGTTAAATAAATATATTTTTTATTTTATTTTCATTTTAGTTGCTCTATTTTTTATTTTTAATTAAATTATTATTATTATTATTATTATTATTATTATTAGTCTGATAAATTATTTTTTAAAATATTATTATTTCCTTTAATAATTATAGTAAAAATTTTATTAACAATTTTAAATTATGATTATAAATGAATGATGTAGTATATATTTAGTTAAATAAATATAAATGAATAAAACATAAAAAAATAAAATATATTTTATTTAAATTTTATAATTTATATTATAAAAATATTTTAAATTTAATAAATTATTGTTATAATTATTTATTTTTAAATTTTATAGTGACGAATAATTTTATGAAATAATTAAATTTGAAAAATAAAAAAAATATTATTTTAAAAAATATTATATATATAAAAATATTATAATTATATTTAATATTGTTTAATATAATAAAAAATTATTATTACATATACATATTTTATATTTAAATTATATATTTTTTTAAAAAAATAAAATAATTTAATAAAAAATAAAACAAATTCGTGCAATGTACGAATATATTTATTAAAAAAAAACTGATATATTAACATATTTAAATTAAATTTATATTAATAAATTATAACTTTAAACTTTTTATAAGATAAATATGTTTACTAAATCTTTAAACTTTAATACTCGTCAAAAAGACAAATTTTCCGTCCCATGGGTTCAGGCCTGAATAAGTGACCGGATAGCCCAGCCCGGACTCAAGCCCGAAACCTACACACCGGAGTTTCTGTTGGTTGTTTTCTGTCTCTTTCAACTGCTAAGGTCTTTAAACTGCCACTGACACTGACACCGACACCGACACCGCAAGCACCTTCACCTCGCTTAGTCTAACAGCAGAATCCAAGTAACACCACACATACACCCCTTTTCTAATTCTTATTGAAACTTTGTATTTTGGCTTCATCAATTTCTTTTTACTCTAAAATCTTTATCTTTCTTTCAATTTCAATATGTAGTTGTCAATCATGTTTTATAATTGAATTTAGATTGTAAAATGATGTAATAGAGAATTTGTTAATTTTTTATTTTATCATTTTGTGTTTGAGATCTGTGAAACTTGAATGTTGAAAAGTGAGGTTACCTATTGGGAAAAATGTTACAGATAAATTTGCATTACAACTATATATTTATTTATGGGAAGGAAAATGAATTGCACGAAATCATATATACAATTTTCATAATATACAATCATATCATGACCATAACGATAATGTAACATGATTAAAGTATTTATTTTAATCAGTTAACGTATCTGTGTGTTTGTATTTTTTATTAAATTATTTTATTTTAAAATAAAAAAATTATAATTTAAATATAAAAATAATAAAATTTTATTATATATTAAATATAATTATATTAAAAAGATAGTAAAATATTTTTATATACAATTTTTTTATATTTTATATATTTTTATTCTTCTTAATTATAAAGATTGTTATAAATAATGCAACATACAAATGACAGTAATTATATATATTTTTATAAATATAATCTAACATAATTTAATGATTATTTTTAACGTTTATCTATTGTCACACTAAATAGTTTTATTTTAATAAAAATTATTTTCTTTTAAAAAAAGTACTTAGAATTATTTGCTATTAAAATTATTCATAAAATAAATATTTTAATATAATATTTGTTCATAAAATTAGTTTTATTTTAATTATTTACTTTTTTAAATACATGATAATAAATTTTATTTCATTTCACATTCTTAATACAATACGATTGATATTCTATTTTTTATTTGTAAGTTATAGCAGAAAAATTTATTAAAATTTAAAGTATTTAAAAATTTTACTAGATACATAAAATCTTGATAAATAATTTTATTAATTGTTTTGTCAATTTTATCTAATAAATATGTGATTTTATAAACTTGAGAATTTTAAAAATATAATAAACGCTTTCAATATAAATACATAAAAAATTATATGTTAATGTTTACAAATAAAAAGTATATTAATTTTTTATTATTATAAAAATTAGTTTACAAAAATATTATAAATAAAAACTAATAATAATATAACTTGTATTCTTTAAGTTTTAAATTTGGTAGTTGATTAATAGATAAAAATATTTTAAAAAATAAAGAATTGATTTTTTTTTTAAAATTAACCAAATCATTATATATTGCATGATAACTCAATAGAATATTAATTGTTTACATTTAATTAAATTTTTGACACAATCCAATAAAATTATTATTCTAAAATGAATTATATTTTAAATTTATTTTACTTTATTTTGATATAATATTTGAAATTGTGAAGTTAAGTCAAAATAATTTTAAAAAAATTTATTGTTTAAAATAATTTTATTATATATAATTATTTACAAAATATAAAATCCATTATTTAATTATATGTATATTTATTCTAAAATAAAATAATAATGTGTAAGAGCTATTAAACTAGTTAACTTTAATTCTAAAAGTCAAATCTACTTTTTATAGAAGCACAAAATGTAAATTAAATGTAGAAACTACACTTAGTAATGTTTAACTAAACGTAAATTAAATTAAAAAAGTCACAATTAATAATATTATGGTATACGTGAATTTGAACATAAAATCAAAGCACTGCTAACCCAATTTTTATTTCAAGAAAAAAAATTACTATTGCACTAATTTTCAAATAGAATCTCATAGAAGGTGCAGCATAATGACGAAGATTCCATTATAGAACTTTCAATATAATCTTGCACAACAAAAAGTCTTGGGCAAGCAGAAAGAGAAAATCCATTTAGAATATGAAATTTTTTTATATACTAGAAATTTCAAATGTTTTAGACAAGGGTAAAATATTTTTATTTTTAAAAAACTACAATAAACTTTTAAAGTGATTTTTTTTAAAAAAAATGTACATATAATAACATTGAACTTAACAAGTTAAAGTCATAATATGGTTAAATTAAACCAGTAGCAAATACACTTTATTTTATTTTATTTTTTTGTTTTGGGTTTTACTGAGTACCTCCCACCCAACAAGAGAGTATTAAGCCGAAAAGAAGGGACAATTCCCAAATAGAAAAACACTTAAAAAAAACTCTTCTAAACACATTTAGAAGCGTATTCATATTATTTTAACATATAAGTTACTGATTTAACCATTTAACACTAAAAATATTTTTAAGAATATAAATATATAACTCAAAATTATTTGTTACTGATTTTAATAAATTAATTATATGTTTCTCAAATGCTAAGGAAGTACTATCTCAGGAGTTGCACAATTTTTGCTCAAGGGGCATTATAAAGTGGAGAAAATAAACATTATAATGTGTTTGACTCACTCAACCAAGCACAGTACAAGCTTCTCCATCTTATTTAAGCATCTCATATTAAAATCTAAAGTAGAAGAGCCACAAATTAAATCTCCAAAGTCACAAATGATTGCATAAGTGGCCATGGACCAATGTTTGGCAACATTTTATTTTTGAATCTTTATTTTTCTCTCTTCTATAGGCAACACAACATAATAGTGATCAAATACAGCTTGTGCAGGTAGACCAGCATTAAAGATTTTGAGGTTGGTTTTTGCATTAAGATACTCATTGCTTTCCCAGTGGCCTTGCTCTTGAAACCATGTCCTCAGATTTCTGTTCACATTACAAAAAATTTGAAATACATAAAATTTAGGCGAAGGAAAGGAAACATAATGCATAAAGTGCTTCCCAAGAAGAAGAAAAATGAAAGGACTCAAACTGAGGAATTTCTGGATATGATAGATGCATGGCAATAACATGGGTATGGAGTTCACAGAAATATATTTGTTTAGAACATCACTGGTTTCAGTGGCTCACTAGGGACCAGTTTCATGTAATAAGAATTAGGATCATCCTAAAGATTTGGGTGGAAGAAAAAGTACAAAGACAAACATTTTAAAAGAAAAGAAAAATCAATATTTAGTTGATTAGTTACTTTCAAAATCTTCTGAGGATTATTACAACAGCAGGGGGAATATGATGATGATTTTCCCATATCAAATGACTGACAATGATATATTCTTAGTTAACATAGCTTCAGCATTGCAGCAATTTTCTGCTTCAGCTACCTACTGCCGTTGAGTATTAGCATGTTTTTCTCTTCTTTTTCACCTTTTCATTCCTTCTATGGATTATTGCCCTCTCCAACATAATCTAACAGAATAAAAAGGAATAAGAAGCAATTGACCTGTTCTGAATGAGGCAAATATTTTCCATCAAAAGTCACCACCACGCGATTCTTCCCATCTACTCCTTTAACTTTGTCAACGGAGCAGTAGAAATCTATCGCTGACATGCTACATATTAAATGAACAAATGAACAATGAGAAAGAAAATCTCGAAACCACACAACAATATTTATGCGTTTATCCATGCCATTTGTTATGCATGGTATGTTTCATCACCAGTAACATCAATCTCAAATCTTGGGAGCGTATAAGTATTAACAAAATCAATTTAATCAGAAACATAATATGTCGGATGTACATAAAATGGCCTATTTTTTTACAGAGAAAGTCTAAGCTCATTTAAGAGGGGGGCAAAGGGAGTCAGCTGTTGCAGCAAGTTTTTGGGATAGTCCAAAGAGAAAACCCATAGCTTCTTCATTTTCATTTTCTTTTCATTTTAGAACCTTTTAGGAAAAGGAAGGGAAAGGACAGAAAAGAGCCTTCTGATTCTGAAGATAACCAGCCCACTTCCTAATACATCATTTTTTTTCCTTTTCAGATTGATGCCTCAAAACTCTCCTTAACTCTATTGGAGATGATTATATGACTCAAATCTTGATTTACTTTTGAGCTTCAAATCTATTGTTTTTGGTACAAGATGAGTTATTTGACTTTGTATATTATAGAAAAAAGCATTAGATCCTCAAATTAATCTCCATCAATCACACTGATTTCTGAATCCCATTAGAGATGATACATCATCATGACACCATCCACTAACCATCCTAACATTCAAACTTTATTAATGATTTTGCATTTTCTGAACTCAGTATGACTACAACTTACCTATCACCTTGCCTACAGTTTACAGTGAAACTGACACTTCTCAGTTTTTACATATCTGACTTCATCTTCTTCAAATTTTAACAAATCATAAAAGATTATGAATTTTCCTTGCAGTTTTACCTCTATAATTTGAGACAGAAACGGGATATGCCGAAAGTAAGGTGTTAAGGATTTTGCAAGACTTTGACAAATCTTTGAGACTCATTCAACAATCAATCACAGAACACAGTAAACATAAATCAATCAAGGGTTTAATCACCAAGATTGGTAAACTAAGGCTGGAACTTTCAGACAATTAGGATGTCTTTGAGTGTCTCGTTTGATATCCTCCTAAAACTCTATTAATCAATACCCTTTAACCTCAAATCTTTTTATAATATGTTATTTCCCTTGATCTAGGTCTTTGACTATTACTACATAAGAGATTACAATGTCATCCATTTATTGAGACTTAAGTCCTAGATTTTTCTCTGTTATTTCTTGTTCAGAGTTCAGACAGATGCTTTATTTTATTGTTGTTGGAGAAGAACCAAGCAGCAAAGGCAAGGCTTTTGAAAATTAAGAATATGTATAGATCTTAAGAATATAATCCCATCCAAACTGTAGACATCCTCACTCCCTTGTGAATAATATTTTTAAGTATTAAATCTTCAATTGTTGAATTTGTGATTGCAAATCGTAAAAGCACAGTCATAGGAATATATATTCATTGCATACTATCAATTGAAGATTCTCTCTAAGGACTTCTGCAACTTGCCCCAAGTTGCATAATATAGAAATCTTGTTTCTATCAGTCAGCATCAACACACATTAGTTTAAATTTAATGGAGATAGAGAAAATAATTTTGGAACCAAGTAAAAAAAAACAAAAATGTGGAGCATTTCCTTAAACCAATACATATCTTTATCAAGCAAAAACAATACAACCAATAGGCAACAATAGCATTATCAACCTGACACAAGTGACATAAAGAAACATATCAGACAATTTATAATTGATGTAACCAAAACTTACATCCCATCACCAAACTCCTCATTGATTATATCCTTGATGCTCTCCCCAAAATGCATCACAGCTTCATTCAACCTACGGAACAGAAGATGAGCATACATAGCCAACAAAATAAATCATACTACTTTTAAAACATTTTCCTAATTGTAATACCCCATGGAGTATAAAAGGTTTTTGATTTAAGTTTTACCAGCAGTATCTGTTAGATAATAAAAGTCTCACATATGTGAGTTAAGAACAAATTAAAGGGTTTATAAGCAAGAGAGCCATGAGCCTAAATTGCTAAGACCTTTTGGATAAACATGTCCCTTAAGCCTTAAAGCCACTCTCTCTCCCCGTTTTGAATTGAGACCAGACTGAAGTTCTAAAAGTATCATTCATTCATTCATAAATTGAATGATGATTATACTCCATGCATAGCCATTTGACCTCAGACAACAGATGCATGTTTTGAACACAAATTGACATCTAAAAATGAAACCTTTAACACAAAAACAATAAGAAAGAGATGTGGGACCTGTAGACAGTGGGGTCTTGGATGAGATTAGGATCATAAGACCTGAGAGGGGGTCTCATCATCTCATGAAGAAGGTCTTCGGGCAGGTCGGGCAGGGCTGCCCGGAGTATAGGGGCAGTGTGAGGTTTGAGCTGTGCCTGTCTCCTAAGGAGCTGGGCAACATAGACGTTGGTGAGTCCAGTTTCCTCTGCTAACTGATTGTAGGACTTACCACACTTTTGCTTCACAGCTTGAAGTCTTGTCACTATGCTTCCTTTGTTCTCCTCCATCTCAACAAGTGAAGAGTCAAGATTCTGAGACCCCAATTGAAGTGTCACTCACGCATCTTCCACATATCAAATTGATTTGTTCTTTATCGTCTTCATGTTATAAGCTAAATGATATTTCCTCTTATTATTATTATTATTATTATTATTATTATTATTATTATTAGTTTAGTTTCACATGTGTTTTATTTTATAATATACATATATAGTAAAGTTATTTTAAAGAATAACCTTATTAAAAACTATTTTGATTTAATTCTACAACTATTTTATCAAAATATTTTTTAATAAAATTAAATAATTTTAAAATATAATTTATATTAAAATAATACTCTTGAATATGAAGTCTTATTAAATAAAAAAATTTATTTAATGTAAAATTATAATAAAAAATTTGTTTTAAATATTGCATGCATTGTTTGCTACCATTGTCTAGAGGTATGTAATTTTTTTTTTTGCAAATCACGATTTTAATTATTTATTGTAAAATTTTATTTTTTCTTTTCATATAACTCCATTTTTTTATAATTTTTTTTAAAAAATCATAAAATATGTCATATTAATCAAACAACTTACCAAAAATTTTATTTTCAAATTCTCTCGTATGATGACTTTTAACAACTATTATGCATATTTGTTTTTAAATTTTGAATGTTCTTATAAAAGACTTTAAATGCATGATAAGATTCATCTTTATATATTGGAAGTGATATCACGTGTACCTAGTATAGTCATTTATAATAACTAGTCCATATATTTGTTGTGGGTATTCTTTCTTACTTTGAGTCCTAATAGAGTCAAATAAATTTATATGAAAAAGTTTAAGTGGCCTCAAGGTAAAAATATTATTTTTGCTTTTAAAATAATTCTTAGTTTATTTTTCGTATTGGCATGCAACATATAATCTCACTCTTCAAGGATTTTAGGTAGTCCCTTCATAAGATTTTTCTTGCAAAAGTTGTGAAATATGTTTTAAATTTATGTAAACAATTGTTTTTTGAGTCAGATTCACTTTTCATCACTATTAGAAAACAAACACAATATATTTTGTTTATTTAACTCCTCTAAATCTATTTTATATAGATTAAGATGTTTTAAGATAGTAAAGACTACAAAGTTATCTCATTTTCTAATTATACATTTGTTTTATAAATAAAATATCATATCCTATATTTTAAATTGACTTATACTCAATAGATTATATTTTAATCCTTTGATATATAAAGCATTATTTAAAGGAGATAGAAGTTCTTTACCAACTTTACCTATTCTAACAAATCATTGTTAATTTTCACCAAATGTAACATATCATTCTTCATGTGATCTTAAGTCTAGGAACATATATTGTCTTCTTATCATATATGGTGAGCATTGATTGTCCAAGTACCATTTACTTAATCTTTTTCTTTAAGTCTGCAATTAAAATGATTTCTAATTCAGCTACCCATATCTTTTTGGGTCCTTTGATATTAGTTTTAAAGATTTTGTCAACTCTTTTTTGGTAAAATTTGTTAGGCCTGTAATTTATTATTGAGTAATCTATAATATTTTGTATTTGTTAAATATTAATTTAAGGATTATTTGAAATTGAAATAGATTTAGATAGAGTTAAAAAAAAGTGAATAGTAAAGCAGCGTGAACAGTAAGATAGTGTCGTTATAGATGGATTATTCCTATTAATTCATAATACATATATTTGAACAGTATAAAATTTCATATGCTCAGAGGTGAATGGGTAAGTTGTGCAGTTAACAGATGAAAGTTTTGAGTTGTAGTGTCGTTGGATTGATAATTAAGTAAGACTTGTCGTGCGAAATTTGATTAGATGTCAAACAATGATATATATAAGCATTATTCCTTTTAATTAGTGCTATATAATTGCTGGACAAAGAGCAGTGTATTTGCACTGAGGTATGATGGTGTTGTTGAAAGTGGTTAATTGTGTGGGTTAGGGATTGAGTTTTAAGTATGTTGTGCGTGTGATAACTTAAGAATTATAGCCAAGGATTTGTGTTGTTTCATTTTAAGAAGAATTGAGAGTTTAAGATGCTGAGTGTCTCGCTCAAGATTTGATTGTTGTTGATTTGTGTGACAAGCCTGATGTGGTTGTGATGGAGTTTTATGTTGTTTCATTCTGTGGTTGTATATTATGTTGATATCGATTGATGAATATTATGAATGAGGTGTTTTAATATTTATTATGTGAAGGTAATGAAATCGTATGGAAAAGTGGTAGGCCAATATGCCAAGTGGTAGGCAAACGTGCCAAATAGTAAGTTCCTTCTAAATTCATTAATGCTGTGATGTTGAATGAAGCTGAATTGTTGTTGTTATAAATACTGTGATAGATTGTATTGATGTTATTATTGAGGTTAATATTGTTGTTCTTGTTGTTATAGCCGTAGTTGTTGGTATTTAGTGAGTTAATAAAAAGGGTTGTTTTGCTGAGAAAAATGTTAGAGAAATTGCTAAATAATGAGTTGTTTTAATATTTATGTTTGCAATATAATGATTATGACTATGTTTCGTAAGCTCACCTTTGTGTTTTATTTGTGTTGTGTGTATTTCGCAATGATTGTACTGTAGTACATAAGCAGAGAGGATAGGTACTCTAGTTACTTCTCAAGCTGGAAGGTCTGATTGAGGAACAACATAGACAATATATATTAGAAATGATTGTAGCTTTAGTTTTGTCAATCTAAGTTAGATGATAGATCTAGGATGTTTAGTGACAATTGAGGAGATGTAATTGTTATTTTAAAACTTGTATTTTGAATTTGTTTACTGAATACTTATTGTAAATATACGAGTTTATGTAAATTTTGGTAATATATGAAAATGCCTTAGAACGTTGCTATTTTGTCAATTTGGATGTTGAAGTTATATTTTTGAAAAATCTATATTCTTTTCGTTGTACATATATTATCTCATAAATGAATTATGAATAATAATGCGGGATGTCACTAATTCTTCACAAAAAGGGGGTCGTAACATTTTAGTAGTATCAGAGCATGGTCTAAGTAAACCTAAGAGGTGAGGTTACTAGGCTTCAGTTGTGTATTCTGAGTAAAGAGTCTTAGTTGTAAATCATATACCATATTTTTTTTAAACATTGGGTTATGTGGAGAATGAGCTTGATCACCTCAGTTCTCTAGAATAACTGATGTAGGAAGTTTTGGCATATGAGACTTGGGTGAGTTATGTTACTTAGGAGATGCATTGTTAAGCTGAGTTATGAAGGAGTTATGTGTATAATTTACATTGTTTGAGAATGTTAAAATAGTGCTATGCTGAATGAGTTATATTGTTGTGAAATGCTTGATATTTTCATTGCTGTATGCTAAATCTATGTACAAAGTTGTGTTGTTGTGTGGTGTGGTATGTAGATTTATGAATTGTGTTTAGTAGATTGATTGTATAGATGAATAAGCGATTCTAAGATAAAGCTGGTTGTAAGTGTTCTAAGTTGGATATGTTTCGTATTAAAATGGCAACGACCATGAGACAGAGCTTAGAGGTGATTCGACAACAACAAGTCGTGAATCAGGTGATCGTTGCAGCTCATGCAGCAGAGGCAACAACTACTGCTGCATATGTTCTGACAGGAAATACTAGAAGAGAGGGAAGGAAGTGGTCTAGTAGGGACACTCATATCCATGGGGAACATAGAGGTACAAGGATGAACCCTTATAGCAGGTTGCATTACCAGCAACAATTACAGCCCTCCTAGTTTGTGAGAATTATGCCATCAGCTCTCAACCCAAGGAAAGTTGCCATTTTTACCCTTCAACCTAGAGGTGCAAGTATATCAGTATGTAGAACTCTAGCGCCATTGACAATCAAGTGTTTTAGGTGTAGAGAATCACACTATTTGAGCAAGTGCTCTCAAGCTGACAATAGAGTCTGTTATGTTTGCCAGCGACAGGGACATATTGTTAAAAATTGTCCTATCTCTCGGAATAGAGCAGCGCCGTCTCTGACAGGTGCTCTACAGGTAGTGTGGCCTAGAATTGTCAGATACTCCACATACGATGGGACCTAGAGCTGATGCAAGAGTTTCTACCAAATCTGGGATGGAGGCAGCCCAAGCAGAAGACCTTGTTCAAGGAACAGGAGTAGTGCTAGGTACTTTTCTCTCGGTACTCTTTGATTCTAAAACCACGCCTTTATAGTGGTTATATGTGTAAGAAACCTAGGGTTATACTGAAGGTGTGACTTAGTAGGGTCACCCTATTTTGAGTTTGGTGATGATTGCGGTTGTTCATATTGAGTATTTCAGAATAATGAAGGATCGACAGTGTAAGATGAACCTTATTAGTATCTTTGTGTCGAACTTAGATATAATCCTAGACATGAATTGGTAATTGCCAATTATGTTTGGATTGATTATAACTACTAAGGTTCAATTTTTCCTAAGAAGTAAGACTAAGCGGAAGTAATCTCCATGCGTTAAGTAGAGACATCTCTAAATGAGGAAGCTTTCCACTCCATTCTTTTAGCTATTAGAAATGCAGTGCAAGAAACAAAAATTTTGGTCGGTATCGATGTTATGGAACTTCTTTGAGATATTTCTGGATAATGTCCACGTGGTGCCTGTATTTAGAAAGGTAGCACTTTGTTTATTTTAAATAGAAAGCAAATTTTATACTTATATTTTCTATTATTTATTTATGTCAAATAAGTAAGTTTGGCTTTAGCTCGCAAATAAGGATTGTAAAAGTGAATGCCCATCACTCCTTCTCTGCCCTCACCACAGTTCTTTCTGTCAACTACTTCGATAGGTTCCTTTTCAGCTTCAGCTTTCAGAATGAGAAACCTTGGCTCACACACCTAGCTGCTGTGGCTTGTCTCTCTCTAGCTGCTAAGGTTGAAGAGACCCATGTGCCCCTCTGTATAGACCTTCAAGTATGTCCCTTGAAAATATGGAGTTTGATCATAGGTTATTTATTTATGTTGTGTATTGATATGATCATTCTTCTCTAAACTGTGATGTGATGTGAAGGTGGAAGAGAGTAGATACCTGTTTGAAGCAAAAACAGTTAAGAGAATGGAAATCTTGGTGCTTTCAACTCTTGGATGGAA